TTGCCTGTAAGCGTTATGTCGTCAACGAGGTGAATGGATAAGCCTAAAGGTGCTGCTATGCCACAAAGGAATGAGGCGTGCGTGTACATAGCGGCGGGGGGGGNGGGGGGGGGGGGAAATGGTTACGAATTTGTGGTACCAGTTTGCCAGCCGAAATGCATAAAATTTTGAAATTGTCGCTCTGCGCCTCCACGGTCCATTTGCTCGTGGATTATGTGATGCGATAAAGGAGCGGATTTGGAATGCAGCGACACAAATGTGTGCACGTACATATGTACATATGTATGTTTGCGGAGCGTTACAGATGTACCGGTACTTGTCTTGCATGCATGGCGCTCATGTTTGTATCGACTCATGTGTGTACATGAATGGCTATAAATGTTCAATTTAGCATTTCATTTGAGCTTGTTTGCATTGTGTAGGAAGTGGAAAACTAGTTTCGGCTCAGTGAAATGCACTACTGGTTTTCGTTTTTTTTTTTTTTTTTGTTTATTATCGTGGGAATGGTAGTTTTTTGAAAAGGGAGCGATGGATCAAGTATGCATTACTTTGCGATTAGATCGTAATTGATAGCCAAAAATTATGTACTTTTGAAACTAGTATGACCAGAGAGACCTCTGCCTGTTTGCAGATTTTAAGAAAAATTAAAAATTCCTATAAAATGACGCTCAAGAAAAGGAACGGAAATTTTCTTCTATCAAGACTTCTTAAATAAGTTTGCAGCTCTTAAGAAAAACAATTCTCGTATATTTAATTCTCCCAGAAAATTTACAACAGTCGTTTTCCTCACAACAGAAATAATGAAAAATATAATTTGAACTAACTATGAGCGAAAGAATTCTGCTTTTCCAGGCATCTTGCAGACATAATTTTGAAGATTTTTGTGGACAACTATTTTTTTATTTTTTTTTTGAATCCGTCGTCTTTTACAACCAAGTTTGGTTTGGAAATCAATTTTTTTGTTGGCAACTTAATAATATCTACTAAAAAAACGAGAATGATAAAAATACGATTTCTATAAAAAAAATATTGTTATCGACATCAATAAAAAAAAATAAAAATACAGCTAGATAGCAATATCATTTTTTTATCGATTCCGACAACAATATTTTTGAATATTTTAAACTATTGCCGTCTGTCTATCTATATCGATATAACATATATCAATAAAAAAAATTCTTTAAAAAAATTTTTTACATATCTTGACTAATGAATATAGTGGCGAAATAAAAACGATTTCGATAAAAACTATTGTTTTCGATATCGATGATATTTGTAGCGATTTCTTCAGACAAAAATTCCTTTTTATTGATACCGATGACAATATTTTCTTAAATAGAAATTTTGCATAAAAAATTTATCATATATTACGTAAAATATTGTTGTCTCTCGATTTCCTAATAAGATATATCAATAGTAAAATTCGTATCGATAACCGAAGTGATAATCGAACAATGTTTCGCTAGTAAAAACGAGTACGATTTTTTTTTTAAAGAAAATTATAAAATATACTTTTATTTTCGAATTATATTGATCATTGCCTTGGTTCAGACTATTTTTTCTAGGAGAGGAGGAGTATATCGTGAAAATTACTATTAAGTTCACAGATATTTTTTTTTGTATAAATTAACGTTACTTTCTGTTCATAGGCATTTTCGTAATGGAGGATATTTTTCGTAAATGTTTAATTAATTTTTTATATTTTTTCTGCTGCTATGCGAATAACATTACGCGATCGCCAGTGATATATAAGTATGCATATTTCATACTTGCATTAATTTGCGTTGTTAATTCCTAAAATTGTTTTTATTTGTTTCGTTTTTATTTTTTCCTATTTCTCTCATTCAAAAACTACCGCTATATTAATTCCACATTAAAAATCAATAATGAATACATACTAATAAATTTTGACCAAAGAGAAGCCGTAAGAAATCAACAATTACGGTAAACACCGCTTCATTGCTTCAAGCTAGTTTTCAGTGGTACAACTTAAGCTCTTTGGGAACAGAAATACGGAGAATGGGTAAAACAGTAATTGGGAGAAGGGAGAGACACCTAAGCGGGTTCTACTGTATGCATAATTTCTAAATTTCTAAGGCACTTATTACACGATTAAATAAAATATTTGTTAATGACAACATTATTTTGACTTTCAATGAAAAAATAGTAAAAAAAAAAAATAAAAATTAGGGTGGTCCTTAAAATATGAACATTTAAATTTTGTATGGGGTACCGCTTTATTTTGTGCTACATACCAAATAGGACATCCAGGAAAATTTAAAAATTAAAAAAAAAATTTTATGGGTTTAATTTTTTTAATCGCAAAAATTCTCCAAAATTTTTTAGTTTGACCAGCTATGACTGGGTGGGTTTATGAATTAAAAAAAAATATGTCAAATTTATAAGATAAAGCGATGTGCCACGATGTTGATGTTTTTAAGGATTAACCTAATGCACTATTTTCATAGCAGGTTGACCAGAAATCCATTAAGCTTAGATAAATACATATACTAGTATCCACCTAATTAACACAAAAATTAAACAAATACTGAAGACAGAAGAACAGAATAATTACCATCACATATCTGTACTCTTTAGTGATTCTTTTTGCTATTAAATATTTAAACTTTGAACATTAAAATACATTTGTATATGTATATATCTATGTCCATTTTAAATTCCCTAATTGAGTCACAAAAATTATTTATGCTTGGGTTTTTCTAATTTTAATTTATGTATTTTTTTTTTGTGAATTTTTTTGTTTTTTATGTGGTTTGTGCATTTTTATGTGGTTTGTTTTTTTTTTGTTCATTTCTTTTTCAGTTTTGTTTCGTGGTATTACAGCTACTTAATAGAGTCGAGAGTTGAAATTGCCGCCACGAGGCATGAAATTTTTGTGTTGAATTAATTTCCCAAAAGTAATTGTAGCATAACACGCATTATATATATGTATGTATGTATTTAAAAACATTTTTCTTGCAGAAAAGTAATCAGGCAACACGCTTCACAAAACAGTTTGTGTTTGAACAACTGTGGCACTTTTTGAGCCAGATTTTATTTTTTATTTTTTTGTAAACAATCAATGTGTAATCAGAAAAGTAATTAACCAGCGGTAGTTAATTTTAAAATCGCTTAAGTACATACACATAAACATAAACGGCAAATGTATGTATGTATGTATGTTTAGCAACGTCTGCCACTTGACAGCCGACAAGCACGACCAGATAATCAGCAGTAAATATCTGTAGGTACTACATATTTTAGAAAGCCAAAGCGAGCTTCATAAAGCTGGTAGTCGCAGATGAAGAGTAATCTCATCGTAAATATGCGCATTAGGATGCGTCACAAAAAAAAAAAAATGCGGGGTTTCCAGCGGAGTAATGAATTTTTTATTTATGTATTTGAAGACTTCCGCTAAATTTTTTCGGAAACATTTAAGATCTAATGTGAGTTCCACAGTTTTGAAAATGTCTCCGAAAATTTCACTATTTTGTTTCCGCTGATAAAATTTATCAACATTTATATGCAAACCTGTCAAGCTTAAATTCTTTTATCAGCTGTGGTGATTTAAAAAAAAAAAAATTTTAACTACTTTTATTTACATTTAAAAATTTCGATTTTGAGATGTTTTCAATGGGTATAATAAATTTTTTAATCCCATTGGAAAAGCAGTACAATTTTATTTTTATTTTAATTTTTATTTTTATTTTTATTTTTTTTTTAATGAATACTGATGCATACTAATGTACATACATACACAGGTAGGTACATACATGTGTAACCAGTCTAATTAATCGTTGATCCACAGTAGTCAGTAGCAAGCAATCGAGATCGCTGTTGAGCGGTAATAATCATTTGCTGCGATTGGCGTTGCAAGACGCAAAGCAGCCACCACAGACGAAGGAGTCCGTCGCATTCCCATTGAGGTGAGGTGAGGTTGAGTGAACGGCCGCCGCTGTGCGCGAACAAACAACGTGGGAATCGAACTATCGAAATTATGTATTTATGTACTTTTACATACACGTAGGTCCATATCTACATATCTACATACATACGTACAAATAGTGGATATATGCACTGCTGCTTTGAAATAAAATGAAATAATTTATGTACCTAAGTCTAATTGACTTTTGAGGTTCATAAGCGATTTTCACAACATTAATTATGTATGTATGCGCACAGAAGACAAGACAAAGAAAAAAACACACAAAAACAAACAGACAGACAATTACTTTCGATAATTTCATTTTGAGATTTCTTATATATTTTTTTTTTCAATTCATTTTCGGCATAATTTAAACTTCGATTTTGTTCGATTTTTTTTTTTTCATTTTTCATTTTTCAAAATGAGCGCCAAAGCGCGTTTATTACCTGTACAAAACAAAAAAAAAAAAAACAAAAAATAATGTACATACATATAATAACTAAACGAGTTAAAATCCCATTAAAAACGCATTCATATTGCGTGCGAACAATATTTACTTAAGTTAATTTTCTCGTGCAATTCGCTGCCTCTTTGTGATGTACATATGTATGTATGTACTATTATGTTGGTATGTACCATTGTCTGTGTAGGTTTCTCAACTTTCAACGGTCGCATTTTGTGTGCGCGAGGACGACGAGCTCAGATTTTTGGGGCGTTGAATTCCAGTGAAAACATTGCGCTGTACTCCTATGTGTGTGCATGCGCGCAATTTGCAGAAGGTTAAGTGAGGAGCGAAAAAATTGTTTAGCGTTTGGGTACTGAAATTACCGTCGGTCGACCTAAATCAAAATTTGGCGGCGTGGCGCGCAAGGCACACGGACACGGGCAGAGCCTACACAGCCACAAAGCGGAGGCGCGGAGTGCGGCGGCTGGACGGGATAGAGCGTCCAGTTTTATTTTTGATTTATTTTTTTATTTTTTTTGCTTTGGTTCTTGTTGGTGTGGGTTTCATTAGTTAATCCGAAAAGCAAACATGCCACTACCATTTTTTCACCTTTTGCGAATTACTGTTTACCTTTTGATATATTACTGTTCCAAGTTTTGACGGCATTTTTTGCTGCTGCTGCTGCTGCCTCACGTTTTTTTTCGATCAGCATTTGAAGCATATTTTCTGCGCTGCATTAAATTTTTAATATTTTTTTTTTGTTTTTTTTTTTTGGTTTTTAATTATGAAGTTTGCGTTTTGAGCCGCATTTCCGACAGTGCGCATACAATGATTTTTCTTTGTTGGTTTTAAAATTTATTTGAAAAGTTAAACGGTCACTTTGCGAGTGTGAAAAGAGGTAACAAAAAAAGGAAAAAGTACTCGTAGAATAAAAAAGTACATACATACATATACTAAATTAAACTTCATTAAACCGAACTCAATTAAATGCGACTGGGCCAAAAGTTAATTTAGAGGCCGCACAAGCGAATTTTAATGCTCGGCAGAGCATTTCCCTTTACCTGTGCTTGCATGTCTTCTTTTAGCCATTCTGATTTTCAGTCGAATATTAGTAGACTTTTCAACAGAGTTTTCAAATAAGCTATCTAAATAAGTTCAAAAAGTTATCGAAAAATTCGTCCTCAAGAAATTTGAGTCACTTTCTCCGTAGTCTGGGGCATTCGCAGCTTCTACAGTTATCGTTAAGCTCCCAAACTAGCGGCTCAGTATTCTCTTATATCCTAATGAAAAGTCGAATCTTCGGTAGTGAAAGGCTCATCGAGCACTGCGCGCTTCGTTTATCGAACAGTGCTGGCCAGAATAAGCGCGAAACAGTGCTGGCATTCCTCTACTCATGAAAAAAGAAGTTGGAAGGGAAGCATTCCGCTCCGGTCCCATCCTAAGACCCTCTATCCTAACCGATCCCATCCTGTTCTATCTTAGATCCCTTCCTTACGCAGTCGTCTACTTGATCATTTCTTCTTCATTACAGCTGTGTTCCCGGGCCAGCGGTTTCCCATCCTATCCTAACCTATCCCATCTTCTATCCTATACTATCTAATTTTGTCTTGTTCTATCCTATCCTATCTTAGATCCCTCCCTGACGTACTCCCCTACTTCATCATTACTTGGAATATAGCTGTATTCACGGGCCAGCGGTTTTTATGCTAAAGAAGAAGTTGTAGAGACCTTTTAATGCAATCCATTTTCGCTGGCTGAAAACGCTGCAGTAATCTGGCAGTTTAAAGGCCTCCCACGAAAACAGCTCTACAAGAGGACGCCAGATCGTAATCCAATGTCCACTTTGGAGCCATTTGGGCGCATCTGGATCTCGGCAGTAATCTAGAAGTCTATAGGCCTCTCTCAAAGAGAGTATCTGAGATATTGTATCAGAAATTACTTAAGAAGACTTTAGAAAGATCAACAAAAGAGTTATTCCCTCACATATCTCTTTTAAAGTCAGCTGGCATGATGGAATACCGATTTTGCTTTAAGGATAATGAAACATAAATTTTATCTGACTCTCCGATCTAGGCCGTCCGTTTAGAATCATTGCATTCAACGATCAGAGTTTTTATAATATTCATTAGGTAAGGTGATGGTAACTTGCGCCTAAAGAATTATGCAATTAAAGTCAGGATAAAAAGAAAGTGCTCTTAGGTTGTAGTGTTCTTTCTTCTGCAACTAATTTCATTGATTTTAGTTCGCAACAAAAGTTACAGTTGGCTAACAAGGTCTTATACAGATTTGAAAGCCTGAAAGACAATTTTTTTCAGAAGATATTGATGCAAGGATGTCATAGAAGTAATGTATTATGAAGAAATTTGCATGAATTAGACGCCGCTGAAATGACTCAGCTAATCCAATTTAATTCCAATTTTAAAAGGCGCCGAAAAATAAAACAAATTCCCAGGTAAAAACGAGGCAAGTAAAATCCAATTTGAATCGCAAGGAAACAATGCAAGAAAAAACGCATGCGATAACTGAAACATAAATCTCATACAGAGATTATACAGATAAACATATTTTAGAAAATTTCACAAACGAAACGACAAACTAACTAGCAAAAACTGACCAAATGGGAGATGAATGAAACACAGCTAAAAAAAGGTTTACAAATAAAGAAGGACAAGAAAGCAAAGAGCGAAAAGCAATGTTGGTTTATAGCCAGAATTATGTAGAGATCTTGTCATATCTATAAAAAAAAAAAAAACTAACCAAGAAACTGCCAATCTAGCCATCATTTAAGCGATCGACAGCAAATCACAGCGAATGCCAGCAACCGTAAAACAATTTCCAGTGAGAAATCATAACCTGAGCGAATGATAAGTTCTGACACACACATAAAAAATGAACGGAATCTTAGAGAAAAAATTCGAAAAAAAGTTAGGCAAAAACTTAAACAAACATAGGTTAAAAAATTAAACAGACAGCAGCAAAAAAATTAAACAGACATAAGACATATTTTAAACAAGTCAGCAAAGCAATAAACGACGGATTACTAAATGGACGATGAACCCACGAGAATCCAGTCAATCAAGCGCGGCAAAAGCCGACGCAGAAATTAAACTTGGAATGCGAGCAGAACAAATGACAAGCCACACAAGTAAATTTGACAAAAAAAAAAAAAACACCAATGATACTGAAATAAAAATAACGATATCTTTCGTAAATCCATCGGAGGAGCAAGCACCACAGCTGATGATCGTCAATCAATCAACGCCAAAAAGGTAGCGGATAAAAATAATCACAGAAGCTTACTAAAAAACTAAGTTAAAACAGCGTAGTGAGTGACAGAAGAAAAAATACTAAACGAAACCGTAACGATGAAACGCTGACAAAAAAATTTTAGTTTTTTCACGTCACTAAGCCGCCATAGGAACAAAAAAAAAACGGTAAAAAGTAAACGGTCAACAGAGTAAACAAAAATATACACAGGTACAACGAATCCAACGTTCCCATAGTTTTTGTTCCAAGTAATTTTTCGAGCAACTACGAATCAATTTATTAAATTTAGTAAAATGTTAAGCTGCTGACGCGCGCAAGTAATACCGATAAAATGGACAAGAGATTAATAGAAAAAAGACAAATGTAAAAGTACAAATATGGTAAAGGAAATAATAAACAAAAAATTCAACAAATAAATAGCGGTTTTAATGAATTCAAAAGACAAATAAAGAAGTGCCAAGGTACGCGCACAACACTAAACCAATCTACAGGCATGGAAAAAAATATGAGCGATCATGCTTTGGGTGACTACAAAATAAGACGCAGAATAAGTTTGATGCTTTTAGCGCTGAAGAGGCCTAAAACGTCAAAGGTGACGGGAGGAAATGTGAATTAGTAATACAAAGAAAAAGAAAAAAAAAATACTCAAAAACAAAAAAAAAAAAAAATAAATAAACGCAGCGCGCATGCATGAATATTAGCGTGCCCCAACCAAAAAAAATAAAGTTCCGGTTTTCCACCGGAATTATAAAACTGATGCGATTTGAAAACTTCCGTTAAAATATTTCGAAAAAATATAAAGAGAAACGTGAGCTGAACCGGTTTGAAAATAACTCCAAAATTTTCCTATAATGATGCTGTTGATAAAATTTTCAAACATTTTTATGCAGACCTTTGAGGCTCAAAGTTCTTATCAGCTGACATGATTTTTAGGAACAAATATTTTAAAAAATCTATTTTATTTACAAAAAAGCTTGATTTTTGCAAATATTTTCAAATCGATTCAGCTCACGTAAATCTTAAATAATCTCCCGAAATATTTTGGCGGAAGTATTAAAATATAATAAATTTTTACAATTCCTTTGGAAAAACAGTACCGATTTTTTTTTTTTTGTTCGGAGAGTGATGCACCCTAATGTTCCTATGTATTAGCAGTATTACGCCACAAAATTCGCAGGGCAAATTAAGTTTGACAAAGTGTGCGGGGCACCAATTTTTGTCTGCGTACATACAATCATGCATACATATTAGGGATGTTGATCCCGGGAGCCTGTTTTAGGTCTCGAACATTGCGGGATTTTCGGGATTAATGAGCTAGATACATATAAGACCGCGGCATGGGCCAAATATATGTAGTAAAACTGCGTTTTTAGTTTTTCACCCTGAGGTCGGTAATTCAAAAATGATTTGAAAAATTCAGCGAAATGTGCTTAAAGAAGAAGTATGGGTATGAAATTAAAGAGGTAATTCTGTAGAATTTGAGCGGATTCAATGTTTTGGTGCATAAGGACTGGTAAGTATTTGAAAGTGTCCTTTTAAATTTTTATCCTTGAAATTTCGGAATATTTGTTTTGAAAATGCCTTGAACCCGGGATTGTGCTAAGGACATCTTGAAAATCCCGAGATCGTAAAAAGCGAAAAACTTAACATCTTTAATACATATGTATGTTTGTATGTATGTATGTGAATTTGTGGCACGATAATGTGATGCTAACTCAACGAAAAAACTTTTATCGCCATACGGAATCAATTGAGTGTATTAAAATTTGCCTTTAAAATGCGTCGTTTTATGACATGAGCGCATCGCGGCAGAAAGGGGATTGACAAGTGAGCAGAGAGGAGCAGCAGAAACGTGACGTGACGTGACGTTACCCATAATCATACAGACGAATTAATCGCTGACAAGTTAAAGAATGCGTAATCCATAGTGGCAAAAAAAAGGTTTGGGAGAATATTGGCAACGTTGCATGTGGTAGTATGTATGTATGTATGTGGTGGTGAGAAGTAAAATAGCAAACTACGACCGGTAGTTTGTAATTCTCAAATGGACTAAATGGAAGTTAATCTTTATGCTGCAATCCTAAAAGATTGGTTTAACAAAAAGAAAATAGTTACCTCTGTTTCGAAGTGTTTTAAAGTTAAACCCAGGAGTGGGTAATCAAGAGGTCACGGTGAAGCTTTTGGAACCCTCTTTTCAAACTCGAAGGAAAATGTCAAACTCTCTCAGCTTCTCGAAAACGAACATACGACTCTTCGTGGAAGCGCCAAAAGGTAGCTGAACCAATAGCCATATCTAGAGCGTGCCTCGAAGAGAATCAAAGAATATTTCATTCATCATTTCTTGTGTCTATGCCTACAGACTATACCTGATTTATGGTAGGTAGCCCCAGGTAACAGAGATGGATTACGAAAACATTCAACCACAATTGCAAATTATACTTCATCTGC